TTCCATCAGATAGTATTATTTACATTTTGAATCTTTCTTTATACAGTGAATGCAAACAAATGTCTAGGTTTTCTCTCCCATACATAATAATAATTAATAAATAATTTTGCATGGCAATACTAATATCTCCTTGTTTCTTATTCACCTAACTCTAATCGCTGAAATAATATTACAAAATTTGAAATTATCACTTCTATCGTGTGGTCATAAACACACAAACTCCCTTTTTTTTAACATTTTATTTTTATGAACACCTTGCATTTTTATAAAAAAAATTCAATAAAAAAATGTGCCATAAAGTATTGGTAATTGTAAATATATTTTAGTTCATTGTCTTTATAATTGTACTGAATAAGCTCTGTGTAAAAATTTATTTTAAATATATAGCTTGGAATTCCATGTAGAATGTTTTGAAATTCGGTATAATTTTTATCAAATTTTGACTAAAATACCTCATTTTAATAAATTTAAATTGTCATAAAATTTCCTAATTGATGTTTTTCATTAATTTAAGTATCAACAAAATAATATAAAATTACTAATATCATGGCATATTAGAAAACTTGTCTCCGAACGCAGGCGGATATCTTAATCAATATTTTGCCTTTTAAAAATGATTCCGTAAACTCTGATCCGTTGCTATGCGACAGATAATCAATACTTTAGTCTGGAACTGCTGTTATGATTAAAAAAGCATTGAAATTTAATGTTTTTTTTAGGTCCCCATTCACAGTCAGGTTGTAATGTTTTTAAGACATTTTAAGAGGAGCATTAAAAAAGAATTAGAATCGATTTTATATTCGGGCACTGTTGCTGAGTTGGCTTTCCTTTTTTTGTTCCTTCGTGGAATCCTTTCCCTATATTATTTCGCCTTCCGAGTTTCCAGAAAAGGCACGTGGGAGGCGTAAAATCGATTTTTCCTGACCTACATCCTTAGGTTGCCATCGCAACAGGTCCCTTCCTGTTGTGCTCCATGGAATATGCGTAAATTGGAGAGGGATTTCTTGATCTTCGCAGTAGAATGAAAAATTGCATATTTGCTTGTTTGGTACAGATCAGGGGTCAGCAACCTTGTAGCTGTAGTTTGTCAAACCAGTTTATCAATGATTCAGAGTGAGACGCAGCAGGAAATATTTGGATCCATTCGATTTTTGAGAAAATTCACACAGAATTAGGGGATAGAGGTCAAAAATACAGATTTAGAGTTTTATAAAATTTTAATGTAAAGATAAACATAAAAAAATTAATATTCCTTCATTATGAATGTAAAATTAAAATTGTACATATTTTTAGAGATACATAGTACATATTAAAATAAGAAATAAACAATAATAAATTTTTACAGTACAGTTAAAAAATTTTAATTTTAATGCGCGCGAATCTTGTCCATGTAAATCTCTACTTAAGGTATCCAATTACCCTAAAATTGTGAATTTTGCAAAAAATTGACAAATTTTTTTATAATTTTATTTTATAGGCTCTTATTGCTTTATAAAAATACCAAGTTTATCATTTTCCGTTCACTAGAACAAAAACTACAAGTGTTTTAGTAAAAGCAGATGCCATACTTTAAAACGCGTTTTACTCGAAATGTGATTTTTAGCGCGTTCTTCACGTAGTTGGAACAAAAGCGCTATTAGGACGCAAATTTCGTCTTCGTTCCATATTTTGTCGTACCTTTTTCTCAGCCAATAAGCAACCAATTGACCTCGGGTTTTCGGCATTTGTGCCCTAGATGAGCCAAATCATATTTAAATGTAATGATTTTTAATTTTTTTTTTTTAAGTACAGTACTACTATCTGTTAGTAAAAAATTCATTAGTTGCATTATTGTAAAATACAACATGTGAAAAACGCGCTAAAATTACTTGGCCATGCCAATGATTGATATCTTGTTTGAAAATAATCAAACGGGGACATCGACTGCTAAAAAAGTTTTGAAAATAATAACTGAAATTTTTTCTATAAGTTCTGTATAATTGTAGAAGTGTTTTAACCTTCAGATTTATCAATCACCGTTTTATTACAAAATTTACAATCCCTTATGTTAATACAATCACTGTTTTCTTAAGCAATTTCATATAATATCTAAGATAAATTGCTCCATTTTTTGTAAAAATTTAAATATCTCTTATCCTAAAAGTCATTTCAAAAATGAATAACATAGCAACACATCAGAATTGAAAATTTGTTCATAAACTTTTGGTACAGAATGGGCCGCGTTTATGCTATTTTTTGTCAATTTTTACCTATTTTTCCACATTTTAGTAATAATAATTTCTTTTTCTCATCTTAATTGTAGCATATTTTTCTTAAAATGTACTAAACAAGTCTAAAAATAACAAAAAAATCCCCATTTCTTAAAAAAAAGTTGTCGCAACCAGTTGGATACCTTAATATTGCAATATCAAGGGCACTGAAGTAGCTAGCTGTGAGGGAGCCCTGTATCAAAATTCCTTCGGGGCCCTTTTTAGATATGAGAGCCCTGTTAGAGGGAATGTAGTTACACATGTTTGGGCCCCGTATCATTCATACGGTGGTAGCTACGGCCCTGATCCAAGGGTATAATTTGTGGCTTTAAATTTGACTCATGATTCTAAGCGTTCAGCTATTAAACAACTTTTTTGTGGACTCAAAATATATTTCATGTAAGGAAAAAAAAACTTCACATATAAATGTAGAAACCAAAGCAGTAAGGTAGAGCATATACAATTTTTTTCAAACAATTAAATCGCTCCGACAATGACGTACAGCAATTTAAAATAGCTGTCGATTTTTCCAATAGTTATCTTCCAGATCTTTTAAAAATTCCGTAAATTTTGCTATTAATAATTCTGAAGATTTTTTTTTTTCAGGGCGCAGCAATGAGGGATGTTTTATTTTACACAAGTTTCATACAATCATTGGGATTTGAATTGAATATTTAACGCTAAGAATAAATCCCATTTAAACATGTTTTTTTTTTAATATAAATCATACAAATTACGCGCAAGCAGAATCATTTAAACTTGAACTAAACTCATTACATTTAATTAATGAATAAATAGTAACAACCAAAAATAATAGTCCAACACTAGATATAAAAAAGAAAATAGCTCGCTGTGTCCCTGAAGCGCAATGGACTTCGGGCCGTTTTTTGCCTCCCCAGCTCCCTAGGCACTTTAAATTGTAACGCCCCTACTATTTCCTACACACCCACCTTCCATTCTTACCTTACCAGTTTTGATTCGGGAGGGATTTTCCTTTAACTTTCTTACTTTCCCCCCTTTCTTTTTTTGCTCTTTGGAGAACCCATTATCCACCACCTATGAACCCGGTTGCGTGGCAGGAGCGGACGCATAACATTTCGTGGCTTTAGCGGACACATCCCCCCCCCCATTCTTAGAACAGATTCGATTATTGATTTACAAGGATATAAATACATTTTTGCCAATCAAATTTAATTTGAATTAAATATTTAAGATATTAGTGCGAATACACTTTAAAAACATAGCACAATGTATTAAAAATAAAAACTTTCAGAGAAATATTTAAAAATTATAGAAAACTGTATTTTAGAGTCAAATAAATATTAGAACAGGTGCAATTACCATAAAATTAATTAGTTTCCTTAATGTAAGTAAATATATAAAAACTAGAAGTAAAATGTACAAAACAGATACAAAAGTAAATAAAAGAAAAATAAATACAAGTAACCAAATACTGACTAATCTTTATTATGAAGGCATAAATATCCTTTACCATTGGATTTAGTCCAACCTAGTTACAAAACTTAAAGATTTTAGGCATTTTTCTAAATTGTTTGATGTTTCGAATTCTTTTAAGATGTTTTCAATTCTTACATCCAATTTTACGTATGTTTTTTCCCCCCTTTTTATTCCAGGATCACCTATTTCTTTGGATTTCAAACTAAAAAAACACTTTTTGTGTTTCTTCTTTTAGTATTTTAACTAATAAGTGGATATTAGGCTGGTTTCTGCCAGTGATTGCATTTAATTTGGAATTCCACCCTTCTACTGTCCGCTCTGGCTACGTAACCGTAGCTGTTCTAAGATGGGGGGAAAATGTGTCCTCTCAAACCACGATGAGTTTTAAAGTGTCCGCTAAAGTCACGAAATTTTATGTGTCCGCTCCTGCCACGCCACCATGAACCCACCGTATCCTGGACTGGCAACTGTAAAGAGAGGATAGTAGCATGGTTTGGGCATTCCGGTTGATTTCGTATCTAATGGCATCACGGACCTGTCAAACATCCTTTTAGAGCTGATTCTCACCCGACTTTCGTCTCCTATCTAGGATGGTGAATGATAGCATGATTGATTATTACTTGCCCATGCTTAAATTATTTGAAATTAATTGTTAAATGAAAGAAAAATAAATTAAATTAAATAAAAATAGATTTTAAAAATTAATTTTATTGAAAGCAAAAGCTTTTCTGAAAGCTATGAAAGAAATTTAGAATTACTGATGATCAGAGCTTTACAATTTACTTGCAATTCCCTCGGCCAATGGGGGCCTCGGGAGGTTGACCTGCCCGACCAATGGGGTAGCAGCTATTCGTGTCATGTTGTGAGTGGAAAGTGTTGAACTTTGTGTTGTAAATTAAAGAAATTGTTTGTGCAGTTACAGTATATATATTTTCACATTATTGTTTGAACTGGTTTTTTTTTCAAATAGTTAATTATCAGTTTTCTCATCACTCTTAAATATATCTCGCTTTACTTTTTAAACATCAATATTCTTCATTGAGTAACTGTCATTGTGTTTGTACAACAAACGTTTTCTTTGATTATAGCAAAATCATTGCAATTAATTTCCATTCTAATATCATTTTGAGTGCATAAGCAATATCAAACTGTTAAGCATTTCTTTTTCCATAGTATAGATCTACATCTCAGTCTTTAATAAGAGCAGAAACGCTTCTCTTGCTAGGCGGTGGAACGTTCGCTGAAATTTGTGTTTCTTTTTTTGTCCTCCAATTTTTTGCGCCCTAGGAACGTGCCTAGAATGCCAAAGCGGAACTGGTTGGACTTCTAATCCAAAGGACGTAGGTTCGAATCCCACCTGGGATGGCCTAATTTTAGAGAATGTGATTTCTTTTTACTATACTATTTATTGGAATATATGTATAATTATGAATAAATAGTAACAAACAAAAATAGTCCAACACCATTATATAGAACGGAAAATTGCTTTCTATTTTGCCACTTAATATTCTTATTCTGTCACATGAATGCACATATTTATATCAATTGTAATAATTAAATAAGTAACTAAAATAAAGTTTTTCTTTATACCGCAGTAGGAATTGACTTAATTTTTATATACATATATTACTTATTAGCTCCTTATAAAGAAATTCTGAAAGAATTGCAAGATCCAAACAGACATGTTACTGCAACTAAGTCAGATAATTTTTGTTGTGATGAGAAATAACTAGGAAAGAAGAGTTTCAACCAACTTTGAGGAGGAAAAAAATTGATTAGCTGTAATTTCTGATTAGTGATGATGAAAGTTGATTTTGTGATCCTAATAAGAGCCATTTGTGTTTATTTTATTATTATAATTAGAATTCTTTGAACATATTTTTTATTGTACTTTTAATTTTTGTAATTCATATTTGTTTTTGATTAAAAAAGTGAAGTTCGCTTACTTCGTCATTTATATGTTTTATTGTAACGAAATTTCAGCTTTTATAAGATTTTACACCTTAAGACTTGTGTGATTTCGATGAAACACTGTACACATTGGCTTGATTAATATTAAGTACATACATAATTAAATTAATAAATAAAATAACAATTAAAATAAACAAAAAAAAGTCTGGTATTACACGGTTTCGATATAGTTGTTTCTAATGCCACCTGTCAGACGTAGTCAGATCGAGGCCCACGAAATTCATCATGGCATCGGGCTAGATTGTACGCCTGTCGTTAGCCGTAGCTTCGAGCACCATTCAGGTGACAGTACGATTTGGCTCGGTCGATATAGTACAGCCGTATTACGCGAGGGGCGCCCTTGGCATTTCAAATTGTTAGCCCCCTCCCCTATTTCCTCCTTCAGTTCTTGCCAGTTTTGGTTCTGGAAGGATTTTCCCTTATAACTCTTTTTCCTTTCGTTGTTTTTGCTGTTAAGAGAGCCTTACCATGATCCCCCATAATGAGAGAGAGAAGGGGGAAAAGACGAACTTTAGCCACATGGCAACAAAGCGTGTTTATTTGTTTCAGTATAGTATTTGTGTATAGTTCCTTTTTCCTTGTTATTTTTTAAATAAGTAGTTTCGTTTGTTAGCTCTTAGCCTTTACTAGCTAACAAACTGCTCCCCAAACATACATACTACGCCAACTCCATTTTGGATTGCAGGAGAAACATAAAATGGGCTTCAAAGAATACACATCAGAAATACTTAAACCAGAAAAGAAATGACGTTGTTCACTTTAAAGTTAAAAACTATCTTGAATAAATAATTCAAACCAATTTAGCTTAGGAATAAACTGAAAAAGAAAGTATAATACTACTGTCAATTGAAGTAAAAAAAAAAAGCTAACCACCCTTTAACAGTGTAAAGGCATAAACTGAAATTTTTTAATTTTCATAAATGCTAATATTGCAATTTCTATCTGAAAGAGATAAATCAATTTACGAGTAAGCTTTGAGCTCCTAAAATACGTTTTATTTAGAATATGATTTACAATAGAAAACATCCAAGCAGAACCATGCTGCCAAAACTAAAATGGGAATGTTGAAGAAATGCTTTTTACATTGATTTATTCAGAAAAACAATAGTAATTCTACCATGAAAAACAAATGAATAAAAATGATAAATAAATACAATCATAATACAAATATGTAACACAATCCCCAATAAACTATAAAAAAAATAAACTTTTACATTCAGAGATAGATGTGGTGTCGAGGTGCCCACCATCATTATCCATAATTTAAATGTGCCAAATTTCCAGTATCTGATTCATTCTGTTTTTGTGTTACATCACAAGACACATACACAAAAATTCTTTCTTTTATCAGTATAGATTATACAACTAATGAGCAAAAAAGTACAGCAGCAATATGGACTTATTACAGTGTGCATATTTTTATACAATACATTGTTTCATATTTGTTACAGTAAGATGAACAATCTTCATATAAGATAGTAAATGACTGAGCTTTTTAAATTACATAAGAAACTGTCACTTTCCAACAACAACATTTACAAATACATCTGAAATGGTAGAGGGGAAAAACTACAATAAAATAAAACTCATTATTATAATAGCAAGGTTAATATATTATAATGGGTTTTGCGCTTCCCACAGGTGTATATTGTAAGATCACGTAGATGGGAAGAAATCTTCCCAAGGCCTACGAAAGGGTTAAAACACAGCTTTTGTTAGCCTAGTTTTATCCACAGTTTTCATTTATAAATACTTAAAAAAAAATCAGACAGAAGTAACCGTAAAAATTAGAAGCTAAATAATAGTAAGTAAAAACAATCACAGCTCAAAGGAAAGAAAACTAAATATACAAGGAATACATTAAATGGTTTTGATGACATACTTTTTATAATAAAAAATACAACAAAAAAAAATAAAAGATGTATTGGAAACAGATTAACATCAGTTTCCTGTTCAATAAAGAAACTGATTATATTGATATAAGAAAATTACTTTTGTATAGCTGAATCGAAATAAATCCAACACCTCACTTTATCAGCAACACAAACATAATTTATATTTATTCAGCAATCTCATATCTCAAATTACATCAATGTCTCAAACTTTAATGCATGATTAGATGAGTGGGTGAATATTAATGTCGTCTTATTCAGCTACTCAAGGGCTTTTGGCAAAGGATCTCATAATTCTGAACCATGGTTAAGTGATGAGGACTACACCTGACGAGGACGGCACCTTTCCTCTCTTAAATTTCACACAATACCAATGGAAGGATTTGATCCTCGACAGATTTAATGTGCATTACCCCCCCCCCTACACGGCGAGTCTTCAGTGGTATTAGGCTCAAACTCATGACATACTGGCCATGATAGTGATGATTTAAGCTAATTTTGGGCCCTGGGCGCCGATCCGAGCCCCTGGGTGCACGACCCGAGGCCCTAAGTGACCTGAGCGTATAATAGATAAACTGGCACTGGGCCATGAGTCTATAGCCTCGACCAATGAGCTAGTATGGCGAATATCATAATTAGATATGCAAATGCTATGAAGACATGGGTTTTGTCTCCTTAAAATTTCTTCAAATTTGTTTTTAAATGGGAACCCTTCGAATCTACTTAAAATCAAACATTCCAATTTAGGAAACTGAATAGCATTGGCACAACCCATATTAGTTATCAACGGAATCTGGATTAAAGTTAACATTCTGAGATTTTTTAGATTAGATAATGGTGCTGAACAAACAGGACCAGGAAAGCATTGGTATCTCCCAGTCAACCCTGAATCAGATATTTTCCTGCACTCGCATAATTTTAAAGTTTTCAAATGTATTAGAGTTTTACTAACCATATTTAGAGTTTTATTAGAAATATTAGAAAGTGTTATACTTAAATGTTCAATATTTGGATTGCACATCAGCAGTTTAAAGAGACTGTCATCAGTTATTTCAGTACAAACCAATTTCAGATACTTCAGTTTAAAGGTCTTAAGATTTGACACAGCATTACAAAATCTCTGCTGTGAAATTTTTCTACAATATGTAATATGTAATTGTGTGAGGTGTTGCAACTGTAATATTTGAGAGATGCAGTCACCAATTTCATGGTTATTCTTGAGGATCAACGTTTCAAGATTTGGCAAACACTTGCAAACAGCTAAAATAGCTTCATCTGTCACTTTCGATGAGTTTGAAAAATCAAGATATGTCAATGAGGACTGAGTTACACAGAACTTCTCTATAAGGAATGGAAATGAGTAAGAAGGAAATGTCATTCTTTTTAATTTTAAACCTTTGATTTCAGCAATATTTAATACAAATTCAGATGATAGCATCAACTGTACAAAGTTAATTTCTTTTAGAGTTCTGCTGTGCTTTTCTATACATTTTTTCAAACCCTCAAAAGATAAAGCTTGGTTTGATGGATCAGTTTCAATTCTTTCTTCACAAATTTTATGACTTTTATATGCTACTTCATTACTTAACACAAAACCATTTAATGATAAGCTCTCCAAATTTGACAAAGTCTTGTTGAGTTTAAATATAATAAAATCTGTCACACCAGGATATAAATACAATGTTACGTCAGTTACGTTAGGAAGATAAGGAAATAAAGAAATGACTTTAGAATTGACTATAGACAAACATTTTAAATTATCACAATGTAGGATTTCATCTTGAAATTCAGATTCATATTTCGGACAAATTTCACAATTTTTAAAAGTCAGTTTGATTAACTGTTTGCTGTATTGCTTCAAGAACTCTACAATAGATTTATTAATAGTGATTTCACTAAAAGAAAAACATTGAAATCTTCGAGTCATGTGGGAAAACAATGCAACAGGCTTCTCGATTTCTTTCAAAAATTTAATTTCGATATCACGTAGGAGCTCATGGCATTCCATAGCATGCAACCATTTCTTACATACCAGCGAGACGATCAATCTCTGGTGAACGGTTAGGGATTGAAAAATTTGTATCAGAACCTGAAAGGTAAAAATAATGCATCAAATTAAAGTTTCATAAAATGTACATCATAAACTAAAAAAAACCCAATATTTTTGATAGTTTTAAATACGAAATAAAGAAAAAGAGATTCAGTGTTTTAATCTGCTATAAATAATTTGTTCATCTTTTAAAAATTATATTTGAAATTAAACCTTCCCAGGAATCCCAAAAATGAAAATTGGCCCCTCAAAATACTGTATAAATCAAATATGTGCACCCCCCCAACTTCTTTTCCCTTCAGATAAAAAAAATATGACAGTCTTTTTTTAATTTTATTAATATAATTATGGAAACAGTTGGGAATGGAAAGCTTCAATTATACAAAAAATAGAATAGCTTTTAAATTTGGTAAAATTTATGAAAATAACAGCAATAGAAATAAATTTTCCA